TATATGTGCGTGGCATGAATATTATAATTAAATGCGAAAATACGCTTTATTAACAACCAGATTTCAAAAGAGCGTTAATTGCGATCCATTCAACGTGTATAATATAAGCATGAATATAAATGAGAGCGCCTACATGTATGCTTATGTAAATGCATTTATTTAATCACACGCTGAATAACTTTGGAATGATCTTTTCTGTATGTGTGTGTATGTGAGTGTGTGTGTACTTGAACGTAAGTACTCATTATTAGCGACAATCTACACGCCAATATAATGATGTAATTAAAAATTTTAAGCGCAGCGAAAAGGCAGTTATTGCTGCTGGTAATGTCACCTAACGGCATGCAATTAAAATGCATGCATATATATGAATCCCGTCGATATTGCAACCGCATAGGCAGTATGACAATGACTTGGCGTATCATTGGCAATGTTTTCAACTACAGTTGTTACTATTAGTTGCGTACTAAAAAGTTTTTCACTGCAAAATTCTCGTAACTGTAGCTACAATACGACAACGTGTGTAGGTGTGGGGTGTGCGCAGTTGCCAGAGTCAGCTGCTGGAAATTGCCGCCTGCAATGTTCAATTTGCTCTAGCAATTGCCTGACCGCAAATGGAAAATGAGTGACTGCAAATATACGAGAGAAATTGCAAGAAGCAGTGGAAGAGAAAGAATGAATCGACACAAAAAAGACAATAGCGAAGGCAGAGCAGCAAATTGCGGTAGTGGCAACACGAATTGCCAGCCCTGCAGTCAAAAGCTGTCGAAACTGTGCCGTCTACACAAGAAACCGCAAAAGCAGTAGCTGCATACAAGACACACATACACACTCGTGCTAACGCGCACCCTACGCATAAATTCTGTAAACAATTTTGTCGGAAAATTCAAAGCTTTTTTGTGTGTGTATTTGTGCTATTGTAGTTTAGTTGCTGTAGTAAGGGACATTTCAAGTTGCGCTGTGGCAGTCGCAAACGCGTAGCACTAACACCCGTCGCCAGCGCCAGCAAGCGCCACTTGCTGCTCACATAGCTGCGTGGCACTTGCCGCCTCAGCTGGATGCAGTTGCAGCGCTTGTGGTTCTTGCAGTGAATAAATTTTGGAACTTGCAAGTCTTGCAAATATTCTTGCGCGGGCATCCAAATACATGTATATGTATATGTATGTGTTTTCCCCAGCTTGCTCGCGTTTATGTGAGTTTGGCGGTGTGGCATGGCTCGGCTTAAACGAATTTACAAAGTTTATTTGTCGGTTTTTGCTACAGTGGCATCTATGCACTCCCTGCTTTGTGAAAACTTGTAAAAAAGAAACAAATAATTTGCACAATTTATGTGCGTTTTTGTGTACTTGTATGCCCTGTGGGCGAATGTTACGTTTATAATTGCCATAGGTCCAGTTTGAGATTGAAACTTTTGTTTCGATTGAAGAATTTTTTTATTGCCATAGAGCACTTATTCAGGCTGATCTGCTAATATTCATGATTGGTTTCGGAAACTAGTATTTCTTCTTAACTTAAACATTTAATGTGCATAGGGCCTTGCATCTATCTCTCACGCTCTAATACGACCCTGAACTCATTCAGAAAACTGAAATCAAATGTGAACAAGAAAAAAATTTAACTTCGGCTGCACCGAAAAAAGAAATGGACGTAAAATGTGCTAGGGCAGATTTACCGTAAAGCTTATTAAACCATTGCTTTGGATCAATTATATATTACGAAATCAGACATATATTAAGTATGAGCAGATCGAAACTTGAAATTTTCAAACTGAATTTCTCACTTTTGCAAATATATGTAGATATTTGGTATTTTATTACAGATTTTCCCTACAGGGCACACACAAACTTATTTACTTACGAAGTTGTAAGTACATGCCCTCCAAATACGTTAAGCGAAAAGCACGAAAGAACCGCGGAATTTAGAAAACTTTTATTCTCTGCAAGTAAACGTCAACGCAGCAAAGAACTGTATTAATTTGCCGTAATTTTGTGCGGTTACTTCTCCTTTTTGGGCTAAACCAAAGTGGTCTACTTGTACGTATGTATGTTTTCACAATATATATTATGGCAACATTAAGTGGTTGCATTTGTAGTAGTTTACTGGAATTTCCTCTGTCTAATACCCAAGAAGATTGAGTGCAGCCTTGTTTGCTGGTAGACTTTGCTTGCTTCTGTAACTTTCTTACATATTTTTGGCGCAAAGCTTTGTGGGAAAATAATTGATTTTGAAGAGGAAAAGTTTGTCCTACTTGCAAGCAGTTTATTTATTGTTATTTTACCGTTTTCGAAGAAAAATGCTTCTCTTTCAAATTTGATAAATAAATTTTTATTGGTACTTCATGTTTTACTGCTATAATACAGAAATTGTTTTCTTTGTGATAATTTATATCAAAGCAGAAATATAAAATGAGAATCTATTATACTTACATATTGTGAGTGTAGCTCTTAAACCAGATTACATTATATAAAATTTTTTTTAAATTTATATATGGTATATATATCAATGAATATCAAGTTATTAACGAGCTCAGTAGTTGTTTTGCTCGTTAAAGGGGATCATCTCGCTAAAAGAAAACACAAGCAATTATGAAATAAAAATATTTAACTCGATTAGCAATGAAAAACTGTTTGGAAATCTGCAGTAAATACAAACTATCTTGGTGTGTTATTTAGTTAATATTCGTAGATTTTCGGAATGTTTATTGATAGACATGGCTTTTGAGTCTTAGTGTCGAATGAGATATATGCCAGCCAATAAATTTATTTTTCAAATATTCTTAGAACCATTTTTATTGAAACCAAAGTCAAAATGGTTGTACATTTAGTAATAAAAGTCGTTCCTCTGAACACAAAGCTAATTGAAATGCAGTGCGGATTCATAAAAGATCATTGTACGTTCCGAATTGTATTTGTGTTGCATCTGACATGTAAAATTTTATTTGAAATTCTATTCGTTCTCTGCAGCTAAAAGTGTATATTATGTCCGCCTCCGTGGCGACAGTAAACTCCTCATTCGTAGATGTGCGTGCATGGCTCATTCGGATTGCGCTAGAATAGCATGACACAGTTACGTGAACTGGTCCCACGCGGCGCTCAACACGCTGATAATTTTCTTTTCTCCAATATTTTATACAGCAGTCTTTTGAAATGCTTTCTGTCTGATATTTTTATGCACCTTCAATCTGCAGTGGGAGCTAAAGCAAGTTTTCACGCGATTTCATCCACTTTGTGTACAAAGATACATTGTTATTAGAAAAACATGCTTTTAAATTTCTTTAAGATAACTCACACATTGACCGACATATTCGGTACAAATTCAACTAGAAGTTCGAAAATCCTTATATTATATTATGAGTATGGGAGCTGAAGCAATTATTGATCCGGTTCACCCAATTTTTGATATACAAATGCACTATTATCAGAAAAGGTTTCACTCCGAACTCTCCGTTAAGACCAGAAAGTTTCCGAAAATTGCGAAAAGCGATACGAAAGCTGTTTTCGCGTAAACGCCTCAAATCGCTCAAATCATACTCTTTATTGACCGTCTGTCCCGTTGGAACGAATTTATGATGAACCAAACCGCGAATATCGAAAAATAAAACAATTTCCGGAAACTTTCTGGTTTCATGGTACAACATGTTGCTACAGAGTATAATGAACGATTTGAAGATCAAAAACCGTATTCACCGGATTTGGCTCCATGCAACTTATTTTTGTTTCTAAAACTCAAGTTACCACTCCCGTGAAACCCGTTCCGACATGATTGGAACCGTAAAATAAAATTCGCAGAGGGAACTAAAGGCGACCTACAAGGCATATGTGTATCGCTTCAGAAGCAGCATAGTTTGAAGGCGACAAAATAAATATTTATTGATAAAGATTAACATTTTGCACTATCTGTGCAAAGTTTTATCCGATTATATTCATTTGTGCTTGATTTGTATACTGGAAAGTGAAATAATCAGATAGAATTAAAAATTGTATTATACCAGCAGACGTGGTTTTTTGTTAGATTTAACCTATTTTATTTAACATAGGAAACTCAAGGAAATGTCATCTACCGAATTTGGCTGAAATCGGTCGAGAACGTCCCTAGAAATGGGTTTTCATCTAAATGTGGCTCATGTAAAGCCCTCTCGTGCCATCTCGGATGTAAGACGTTATGTCTTTGGGGCCTTTATTTATAGATCTATCGCAACTTCGTCTCGCCATCGTGATCATTTATATAATATATACTCTTATATATATAAACTTATATCTATCTCGATTAGTTTTAGGTGTTACAAACAACTCTGTAGCAAAATGTGGCGAGAGCATAAATTTATTTTTATACCTGTTAAACTGTTCAAGTATAATCAGTTCCGATCTTTGGTTGACGTATGTCGGTTGAGGCTATATGACATATTTCTCAATTTGGAATGATTTTAATATAATATAATTCTAGATGTCGCTAAGTAAAATATAGCAACCATATCATAACAATATCGTAACTGCGTCTGAAAACTTAATAAAATACCAAATTTGATTATAATCCATTTACGTTTTCTTCCAATAATGAACGTTGAATTCTTTCGAAATATTTTTTAATATAAAGGTTTGCCAACTCCTGAAGGTATTTCTCCGACTTTGAGCCTTGTAAGCGTACACCCGAACTTTGCCTTTCCTTACATGTTATATTTATAATTGAGCCCCAAAGTACCTTTTCAGCGCTGAAATAAGTTAGTGCTAAAAAAAAAGTGTTTAACTTAATTAAATTAAATATTGATAGGCTTTTGAGGTGAAAACTGTTATGTGAGGTTTGCTTAAATATATATATTCATATATGTATGCATATATAATGGCAATGAAACCGTTTATTTAAGTTTAATATCCAGCTGAAATATTCCCGATTATAAAAATTTATTGATAGCAAAATAATGACTGTATCACATAATTATTTTCAATAGCATTTAAAACACAAAAGATATTAATTTCTGGTTCAAAAAAGCGCATTCGACTCACCTGCATACATCAGCAACGCCAACAGTATCTGCACCCAATGTGTCATTTTGTTATTGTTTCTTGATGGATTTGCGTTTAAGCGATGATTTTGTCGTCAGTGTTGCAATAATAAATTGTTAAATGGCTGACAGTGCACTCGGCCGTTTGTTTATATTTAATTATGTCCTGTGTTATTACTATGAATTATTGTACGTTTTATCGATATGTTGTGTTTGTTACGAAAGTAAAAATTTGCTAAAGGACTACACATGTACACGCTTTGTTGTTGTTAGTATTGTTTTTCACATATTAGTTCCGTGTATAAAAACCTAATTAATTCAAAGTGTTAAATACACAAAATAAGTGCAAAATCAATTAAGTTCTCTATTTAAAACTTTTGTGAAAATTTATCGATAACGCCCACTTGTATTAATGGCGGTATGCAACGAAAGTATAGTGCATAAAAGTAGACATTTAAATTCCCTCCATATACTCGTACATAAATGCATTTTTCGCGTTCAATGGCATACAAATGGCATACGAAATCTATAAAATCAAAATACGTGCGAAGAAAATTACTCAGTAAAAACACCACGAAATTCCTGCGAGCTCTCACAAATGCATATGAGAAACAATAAAAACCGTTAGTAATCACTTAACTGTTAACAGCGACGTTGAGCAGCTAGACGTGGCAGCAGTTGGAGTCACGCAGCTTTCTTATTTGTTACGTGCTGATTATAATGACAATTGTTGTTATTGGTATTGTTATTACTATAACTGGTAGCTGATGTAAAATTAAGTTTATTTTTGTTGTTGCATTTACAATTTTTAACGCGTTAATAAGCTGTTGTCCAGCATGACGAAAATTTTATTTTTAAATCTATATCATCCTTTCACCGCTTGTTAACACAACAAAAAGAAAGAAAAAGCAAATAAATGAAATCACAACAAAATCACGGTCGGTTCCGTTTCCGCCTTTCACTTACGCTTCCGACGTTTTTCACTCAAAAATCGTTGCCGCGCTTCTGTTATTGGCCTGCGTGCGTTTGTCAGTTGTTTGTTTTTGTTCGCTTTTTCTTACAGAATACCGTTATTTTGCGGAAAAAACATGCTTGCATTATTTATCAATCTTTCAGCATAAAAACGGGAACGTGGCTGCTACATGGATGCTATCGCCATTGTTGCTCCTGTAAATTTACTTCCGTTGTATTCTCTTTTGTTTTTGTTTCTGTTCTGCTTTAGGCTTTTATTTTATTTTTGTTTTTATTTTAAAATTATCCGTCGGCTCTTGGCTGTTTTACGCCTCCAGCTTGTCGCTCAGCTGGAATCATGCGCCTTTTTAATTGGTTTCACTTTACAGTATTATTATGGCACGTGCTGTCGTTTCGCTTATCCCTTAACGGTTATCCTTTTGTTGCCGTCGATTTGCGTTGAATCGCTGCGAGCTACGGCTCACATGTCAACGGCGCTCAGCCCAATAGCGTCAACTACGACTTGAGCTTGTTGTGCACTGTTCATCGCATTTTCATTTAATGCTGACACATACATACACACATACACACATTTTCGATGGCTTCAACTCGTCTCTTTCACTTCCTTTTCATTAAGTCGGCATCGTTATTGCTTTAGTAATATTTGTAGTTGTTAATGTTGTTGTTATTGTGCTTGTTGATAGGTGTTCTTGAGTGGCAATTATTTGGATTTGTACTGCCGGTATTTATTTTCCACACCAGCCTTTTGCCACCTGCAAGTAGAGAGAAGAAAATCGTGAGTAAAAATGCAAATACCTTATTAATGCTGTGTGTAAAATGAATCTCGTGCTATTAAATGACACGAAAAATTCCGGATTCAAGAACAAGATTGTCAACGTGCCGTTGAAAAATAATTGGAGAAAGCGAGTATATTAATTTTCTGAAGTATTTGAAGTATTTTAATCGCTGAAGGAGTGTGAGAGTGCTAGAGAAGAAAAGTATTGTCATTGCACTTTAACAATGAGAACGCTGTGAAGAACATTTTTGCTGGATTTAATAATATCTTTAAAATACTAAAAAATTTAATTGGTAAAAAAATGTATAACAATTAACACGAGTTATACTCATTTTTATTTATGACATCACTAAGGAGGAGGTAATTTAAACATATATAAGAGTTTCTTTCAAAGACCTCTACGATATATGTAATTTATTTACATATTTATACGACAACCGTTGAGGCCCACACAATAGTCGGATTTATGTGACCGAAATTAACCCAGATTTTTACACGTTAATGGACTGGAGACTTGGAAATTTTCTAAAAAAGTGTTTTGGGAATGTATACTGCGGTTATATGATCGCACAATACCAACGGCTGTTGAGGTATATCATGATCTTCACCGATGTCCACTCATCGAAAAAAAAAATTCTGATAGAAGTTAATGGGTATAGTACATGAGCTATAATCAGCTACTTAACAGTTACTACTCTGAAGAAGTTGGACACTAGTATACTTTCTATGCTTGTTTGTTCTTTTGAACTCTTGATTGAGCGCTAAAAGGCTAAAGAGAAAAGTATCTGATACAAAAAATTTCGTGGTTAGAGAAACTATCAGAGAAAATAAAGAAACTATCAGATAAAACACTGTTTCAATCATTTTTGGTATTTGGGCTTTTCCGTCTAGTTTATCATCAAGAATGAGAAAATCTGTCATCGGTTCCAAGTTTCTCTGCTCGCTAGCTTTATTGAAGCTCTCTTGTAGAAAACTTACATTTTAAAACATTTCACGAGTTAAGTTAGTTATAAGAAATTATACAAGTATCATAGGTACATCTTACAAGTAGTTTACGCGCTTTCGTTTATGCTCAGTAGTTATAATATCCTAAATAGTTATATTACGTTTGCCACCAAGTCTATAACACCCAATAGGACATGTCGGAGACTTCATATAAAAAAATATTTAGAAATGATTAACGTGAATAGCTAGTCGATGTTGCCATGTCGTCTGTCTGTTTGTCTGTCTTCCTGTATAAGTTCGTTCAGTTCGTTTGTCAGAACTGCTGCTATCGGGTCACTATATGATATAGCTGCCATACAAACTGTTATACCCTGAAAAAGGAATATTTAGTTTGTCACGATGATTATAACACCCGAAGGAAACTCGGAGACACTTTAAGGTATAATATATATGCTTGTATAAATGATTAGCGTGACTAGCTGAGTTGATTTTGTCATGTATACCTGACAGTCTGTCTATATATACCCGAACTAGTCCCTCAGTTTTTGAGTTATCGATATGAAATTTTACGCATGTCTTTTTCTCGCCAAGAAGCTGCTCATTCGCAAGATTCGTCGATATCGGCGACTATAGCCTATAACTACCAAACTAACTGACCGATCGAACTCAAGTCCTTGTATGGAATTTTTTTTATTTGACAAGTTATCGCCACGAAATTTGGAACAGACTATTATCTCAGGCATCGCTACAATCTTTGGATACATTATTTGGATCAAACCTTTATAACATACATATATATATATATATATATATAACAGTTAGTTGCCATATAAATTGACCAAGCAAAATAAATATATCGATATTTTTCTACACTTTTATGCTATAAGAAATGCACCTGTGAAGGGCATTAGATCTTCAGTGCGATGGTAACATTTTTTCTGGCATAGTTAGCATATAGTGAATTGAGAGTGACAAACTATATGGTAGTATACATTTGTAATTTTCGACAGTTACTTTTCAGTTCTGTCAATCCTTATGTACCGTTTGTGTAAAATGTTCGATTCGCTACTCTGTACCATTTGCCTCTTTTAATAAAATTTCGTTCAAAAATTTTCAAATAAATAGAAGGTTTTCAAAAATCAGAAAAGCTCTCGAAAGCCTCGTTTGTCTTAAACTTTACAAAACGATTTCATAAATGTATATTATTATAATTATTATGTTAGCCGTAAAACTAACTGGCACATCAGTTAGAAACCATTAGAAATCCAAAACTAGATATAGAATAAAAATGTTGATAAAAAAGTGGAATTTCAGACATTTTCCCAAATAAATATTGCCACAGTATGCAAGTTTCGTAATCCTATCATGAAGTCATGTGCATTTATTACACACTATTGCATAATTCTTAGGTGAGCCAAAAAAGTTTGATAAATTGCTGCCTTAAAACTGGGCAACATTAATAATGAAATCTTTTTTCTGGAAGTCAAAGCTGCACATGATAGCTTCCAACAAACTCAGATGCTGTAGCCAGTTTAAAAATAATACAATATGTCTGCTGTTTTTTTTTTCATCACTTATGTATGTGCTTAAAAGAAAACATTTCAATTTTTGCCCCCAACATAAGCAGACACAAAATTGAAGCTTTGTGAGAGAGACACAGCTATGCAAAGTTTTGAGCGTTCCAGCGACAGCTGCATTACACAAAAGTCTCTGGGTGTTTATGTATGCACTTGAGATCTGTAATCCGAAGTCAGATCCGTCTTCAGAAACTAACATTTCAGCATTTGTACTTGAAACGAACTACTCTAACGGTATTAAGCGAATGTACCCATTCACCAGTGCTGTACGTGACATATTCACAAGCTTAAGCGGTGGAGTGGAGCAGCAAAGTTGAATGCAGCCAAAATTTACTATGCACTAGACTGTGTAGAAAAACTCTCGTGTTACAAAGAAAATTTTAATGTCCTTTTTTGTATGCGACAAGCGGCAAACGCTTCAGTTGCAAACGCTGTTTGCCACTCTTGCCCCACAACACACCATGCGCTTGCAACACACTATGTTTTTTGGCATACGTATGTTTATACAATTTATCACACGGCGACAAGTGAAAAAATTAGTCAAAGCAACGAGGTGAAGAGGCTGAGCGGCATGTCACACTCACACACACACTAATATGTGCCCTTGTAGAAGAGAATATTTAGAAACATAGCCGCAACCCAGCCGAAAATGTGAACTAGCTTCTCCTAGTATTGTATTTCAGAAAGTTTTACCTTGGAATCACTCACACTGACTTGGTTCTCCTCAACTGATTATGCAAGGTCTTACTGCCGCAAATCCGCGGAGTGCTCAATGGTACCACAAAAGAGAATTATTTGACCTTTTTTTTCTTCCTGGGTTGTCATGCCTTTGTTCGTATGCTCTTTATACCTTTTTTTCTTCGTGCTGTAGGAGGATGCTCATATGCATGACATAGTTGAGCAGAATATTTTGTGAATTCATATGTTAACGTTGCTGTCTATATGTGTGCAACGCGCATTGTGCTCTTAAATATCCACATCCCTACACTGATTTATGTAGCTGCATATATTCATCCTTTTTGCAAGTGTTTGTTGATTCTCCGCTTTTATTTTGGGTCTTTGTTTAAGCGTTTAACTTAGTGGGCGACAAAAAACAAGAATTCGGTTATGATTTATTAGTATGCGCTGACTGATGTTGTCAGTTGAATTTTTAAGCAGATTACAATGAATGGCTGTTTCTAAAGCTGGCAATGCTGCTCTGTGCTATGCATATTTTTGGGTACTCAAGGTCGTGGAAGTGATTTTGGCTTAAAAATTCAATAGGAACAATCTACTTCTTTCGATACGGGCAGCGTGATGTTGTGGTTACCTTATAGTTGATATACATATTGTATTTTCTATTTATTATTTAATGTGTGCTACAAGTATAAAATCATACATGTAAGCACGAGTAACTCGAAGGCCATTTTATTTAAAAATGCGATTTTATTAATCAAAACCTAATAAAAATAAAATTTTTAAATAAGACTGATTATAATGAGTTTTTGATTAGTCCAATGCTTTGAAAAAAATGTAATCAAAGTGGAAATAAATTAAAAATTTTAGTATTCTTTTCTATAACTCACTATTTTTTTTTTGTTTTTTTATTAGTCTAAATCTGTCTATCACATTTATGTTAAGGCGACTAATATCAGTTTCGAATCTCTTTTGGTTTACCGAAAATATGACTGTCGCGATGTTTTAACCACAGTAGTAGTCTGGTCCAAACAGAAAACATCCCGACAACCTTCCCACCGAGCTTCGAGCTATCAATGACTTCGCGCGTCCACATATCCTTCGTCGGTATATACTATAAGAGAGTTAAAGCCACCTGAGGTAGACTTTGAGACACAGTAGTCCAAGATTTCGGAGATGTAGTTGAAGAAGAAAAGAATTTCGAAATATTCTGTGTGAAGCCTATCGTAAACCCCGCTTCTCTGATTCTTAGAGCGACCTTCACAGCAATACTTTCCAAAGAAGTTCATTTAACGTCAAAACAAGTGAGTCCGAAATAGAGCTAAGCCCTTTTCATATATCTTAATCGTCTCATATTACGATCAAGAAGGCAACTTGAATGTGAAGAAGAAGAAAACGTCACAATATACGAATTTTGGAAACCTTAATCTCAGCTAAGATTTCCACATATACAATATATCTTTCACTAGCATCACACAGGCGCATTTTTATTCATCGGATTATCAACGAAATACTTGTTAATGGTAACCAAAGTAAACGTTTAGATTACAATAGTGAGATTTTTAAGCCAACATGACTTTTTCCATTACGTCCTTAGCCGAGGCCGTTTTACAATTGACGTTAAGTACAATAGTTCCACCCTCTGAAGCTCGCCACATTCTTCATGTCAATGAAATGCTTGAATTCTTGATGAATGAAGCAAGGTGAAATAAAAGTGGATGATTAGGCAAGACGTTTTTGGATATAAAGTTCATTGCCACCATGATATTGCCCGAGGAAC